GCCCCCCCCCCCCCCCCCCCACACACACACACACACACACCATTGTCCAGATAAGAGGTGATGTTCATCTTCAGCTCAGTTGAGGTTCTGTTACATGTCCATGGCCTTGGGGAAGGGAGGGGTGAGGAGACAGTCAAAGCATCTTTGTTGTTTTCAAAACATTCCAGGAGGAGTTGAGATAAGTCCGGCGTCAAGGTCACAATTTGGGTCAGGCAGAACTCGTGAATTGTTGTTTCTGCCTTTAAAGTCTTGCTGTACATATTCTCTGATGGAAACTCCAAAACAGCCGAATTGATCCTTTACTCCAAAAGTCGAGCTCACAGCTTCTCCAGATTATTCCACCATTCATGAGTGCTGCCAGGAAGATCACAGTCCTGATAACAGCTGCTCCAATTCCCTGTCACAGCTCCACATTCAGTTTGAGCACTGTCAAGCTTCAACACCTCCACACGAATTTGTAGACAACCAGATTTCACCAACCAAACAGTAGAATCTAGTTGTCATCATGAATCCAATTTGTTCCTTAGAGGTAGAGGGTCCTCCTTACCCTGACTCCTGTCAGGAGAAGTTGATCGATTTTGTTGAGAGACCAGCTGATCCTTCCAATTAAGAGGTATGCAGGAAAAAAAATAAGCTTTTTAAGGGTTCACAGGACAAAAGAGCGCAGCAGGGAAGCGGGTGTGTGTGTGTGTTGGGGGGGGGGGGGGGGAGAGAACACGTCTGGTTTCACCGTAGAATAGCAGGAAAAGCCCTAGTGTTAATAACTTTGTCCAAGAAAAAAATGAAGAAACTTATCACAAAGTTCTCCAGATGCTTCAAGAGGGACCGGTTCATGTGCATTGAGGACAGTGTTGATTGTATTATAAAGGACACGGTGGTTGTGAGAGTTAGCAGAAATCATGTCAGCGAAATATTTTGCTCTGGCTGTTTTCACAGCTCGTTGATAGCGACGCCAACTCTCTCTCAGTATATCAAAAGAGAATTGGAGTTGGTCCTTTCTCCACTTGCGTTCATTTCTCCTGCATTCCTATCTAATGGCACGAGTATGATCACTCAACCATGGGTCTGATCTTGGCTTTGATCACCTGGTTTTAATTGGGGCCACATCACTCAAAACAGAATGGCATAAAGAATCAAAATATAATGAAACTCCTCAGTGCTGAGGGACACAGCGAGCTGTGAATCTAAACGATTAAAGGCAGTGGAGAAATGGGCAGCAGAGGACGAGTAAAAAACACGGCAGCGTCGAGCAGGAGCACAGGACTCAACAGATCTAGAAACAGGAATAAAATCAAATAAAACAGGCATGTGGTCTGAAAACAATGAATCACCAATTTCCAAGTTAAAATTAGATAAACCATAAGATAAAACAAGGTCCAGGGTGTGTGTACATTCATGGATTGGGCCCTTCACTGACTGAGTGAGGCCAAAAGCATCCACTACATCTAAGAAATCCTTCACCAGCAGTTTTCTAGTGCAACTCACATGAATATTAAAATCTCCAATAATTAAAACTTGCTCATATTTGGATGTAAAATCCCCCAAGAAATCAAAAAAGTCCTGCATGAAGTCCTTATTATACTTAGGAGGCCGGTAGATGACGGCGCACAGAAGCAGAGGAGCGCAACCCAACTCAAACATGCTCAGTTCAAAGGTAGAAAACGCAGTCGGGAGGGACAGCTGCTTACAGTCAAAACTTGATTTATAAATAATCACCAAACCTCCTCCATGACCCAAGGACCTTGGGGTATTAAAGTTGGAGATGTACCGATATCGAAAAAACTTCTTGATCGGGTATTGGTGACAATGTGACCGATCCATGACTGGGCAGATCTATTCACTCTAATTTTATGCTTTGTGCTCTGAGTGATGTCACGCGCTAACGTACTGACTGACCAAATTAAAGTTGTGTTATTTTTACATGTTTGACTAAGCTTGTGAAGCTTGCAGAGTTTTCAATAAATTTATAATTCAGTACATTCATTTCTGTGTTTAACAAAACAAATGTTTTAAGTTAATTCAGCACTGGGTTTGTAAGCTCAAACATCTAGGTAGACAACAAAAATAGCTAAATCATGTCATCTGAACCTGTTTCAGAAACGGGTCCAGATGACATGAGTAGCCTTGGGGTAATAGTTCTGAAAAAACACGACTCACCCAGAGAAATCCAAGTCTCAGTCACGCAGAGAAAGTCCAAACCTTGGGATGAATAAAAATCCTTCAGGATAAAAGTTGTGTTTGTAACAGATCTTGCGTTTACCAGATCTATCTTAATGGGAACTGGGTCCGGTGAAGCAGTAGAAAAAATAATTTGTGCAAGGTGTCGCAGATTTCCGAGGTTGGCACCTCGCCAGCGCAGATGTGGAGGAGTGAGACGTGGAGGAAAGAAGCATTGATCCAAGTCGACAACAGGTACCAGCCAGGAATCAACAGGGTCCAAGGAGCGCCGAGAAGCATACAGTCCAGGGACTGATCCAAGCTGGGCAAAGAAGATTCCCGGCAATTTGGCCAAACCAGTCCTCCACCTAACCAAGAGCCCGCCGCATTTACCTCGATGCCGGTGACACCTTCTTCATCGAGGGGGGTGTGGTGTCCAACACAGGTAAGATGGAACGCCGGCCAACAGAGGGGGCAAAGAATTGTGCTTTTCATGACAGTGATATAAAACTTTTGCAGTAGGCAGACAAAGCCCCAAAAGGGTTTGGCAATCATACACCAGTAGAGAATTCACATCAGGAAAACAGCACAGAAACAACAATAAAAACCGAAAAATAGAGAGCGGTAGACAACTCGCCAAACACACTGGCGCCATCTTACCACACCCTGACTCGGCTACTACCACAGCAAACTTTAGATCTGTGAGGGTTGTGTCAGAAAGGGCATCTGATGTAAAACACCGTTGCCAAAACTATAATGCAAATTCATCTAAGTGACACCATACCAGATCGGTCGATGCCTGGGTTAACAACGACCGCCACTGGTGCTTTTGACAAACAGGGTCCAGAGGAAATTGTGCTACTGTTAGTCAAAGACCACGAGGAGGGAAACGTGTCAGGAGATGAGAGAGAAAAGGAAAGTCAATAATGTAGGACTGAGGGTGGAAACAATAAATGTGGGAACAATGACAGGCAAAACTAGAGAGCTGGCGGGCATGATGCAGAGAAGGAAGGTAGATGTTTTATGTGTCCAAGAGACAGAGGAGCTGTTAAAGGCTCTGGGTGATAAGAAAGAGTTTCCAGATGACTGGGCTACTATAGCAACAATAATTAGAGAAACAGGTAGGAAGGCACTTGGTGTGTCATC